TTGGTAACAATTTGAAGGTCTATCAAATTATTTCATCAATTTGGCGGTTTTTCGCTTTGAACTACTGGCCGCTACCAAAATGCAGAAATGTGCTACATGCTGAACAGTGCGATGTTATTTTTTTAGCCTAGTTGCTAAGAGAGAACTCTTATGCTGGAAATCTTAAAAACTAAACTGTACTCTTTTCAGAAGAAAAAATTATTTTAAAACAAATACCCTTGACTACTTTGAAACGGCCGAGCGTAGCCGGGTATGCAAGCTAGTGAAAAGAATAAACAAGTGAATAACTGAGAGTAATTGCGCTCCAAAATGCTGATGTGCAACATGTAATTCGGTTCTTTGACGCTCCTCAAAGAAGAAATTTTGTTTTTTTTTTCTGTTTTGCCGAAGGTTAGATGTAATCAACTTTAACAGTGCAAATGCTATTCAGTCCTTTTGCCTGGAATAATAAAATTCTTGTTGGTTTATATGGTTGTTGAGAAATCAAGTAAGAATAAGTAATATGGGTCGTATTTGCTTAAGAAAAGTACATCTTCTGTGAATGGGTGTTGCGCCGATATTAAAGCACAATCTCAAGTGAGTTTTGTGCGCATTCATTGCATTTAAGGCAATTTGACTGATTTTATCAAGCATTTCTCCCTAAAAATTGACATTGCTTTTATCAATTAAGCAAGGAGCTTAAGAACTTCAAATAAACGCAGCTCTCAAAATAGCTGTAAGTGGGTCACTGTTCGTTACATTTATAGTTACTTTCATCAAGCAGCTATCGCACTGAGATTTTTCATCCAAAAACATGCGAAATAGGCCTCATTATAGCAGTATGAGAAACAGTTGTAAACAGGTTGATTCAAGTTTTCAAACTAAGGTTCAAAGCTAAACTCAACTATTCTAATATTCATTTTTCGACCAAAGGCGACTTTTTCCTGTGAACGTTAATCTCATTCAATAGAAAAAGAATTGAGAGAAAGTCTCAGCATGTTAGAGAAATATGTTCCAGAATTGCGAACGTAAACGTATAAATTCGATGTATGTATTGCTGGGAGTATTTTGGCTATTTGATTTAAGCAATGTATGAAGCTTCCCGCCGTAATAATAACAATGTTGTCCTGTTTTCCTTCTACTTATATCTAAGCTCCATATTTCGCACAGATAACTAACTGAGCCGTTCTCGGTGGAGTTGCGTCCGGGACAATGCCTGAAATTAGACAAACCAAGCGAGCCACACAGCGTTATAGCGAAAACACTTAAAAAGATTGCGATGAT